TTCACTCTTTCCTGATGGTGGAGATACGTGGTTCAAGGGCAGGCTCACGTATTCATGATGCCCACCCATTGCTCAGGTTGCAGAAAGGATTTCCTCACGCAGCCTCTCCTTGTTAACGGCAAAGCCACCGTAGCAGTTATAAAATGCCCGTATCTAATGGCTGGCAAGCATTGTGCTCAAATTCACGTTCTGCTCTTGTCCTAACAGAATTATGTCATGACAATGAAAAACGCTGGGTTTGGAGGGAACGTTGAGTGGGTCAGAGACTGTACTTTATCACGGGTGGGTATTTTGTCCACAGCCCAAGCCTGAAGTGGAACACCGCAGATGCATAGTGCATAGGACACGGAGCACACACTTGCATTTAAATCACGTATATCTTACTTTTTTACTGATGTAATTGTGAAATATGTTCTTTTTGCATTCATAATTAGGGGGTGGAACAGATGGTGAAGGCTTAGTTTAAAATAATCTGTCATTAAAATAACCTAGCCTACTGGTAATTCTTCACTCTAACTGGAGTTAGGTCATAGGAAAAGAGTTTGGGGTGATTTCTTTTCTCCTCTTCTACGTTGGAATGTAGAAAAAACCCACTAATTTCAGAGTCGTCCTACACGTGAGAATTGTCTCTATAAGGGCACGACAGTAAGATTTCACTCTGAAATTTGGCTACAGTGAAATATGCAGGGAAAAAAAAAAGAAAGCAGAGATAAAACAACTTTGACGACTATAAATCCATTTAGCACAATGCATTAAACATTAGTATACCCTTCAATCATGAAGCTATAGTTAGTTTCATACCCTGGAAAGAAATAGCCTCATTATTTGACAAATACTGTTAGAGGCACTCAGCTTTTGGGGTTAAGAAACTGTGCCTTACAGTTTATGTGTTACACTGATGTCAGGGGATATAAATTATAATTACAGGCATTATTATTCAGAGATGTTATAGCTCCTGACTTCTGTATCCAAGCCTTATTGCTGCACACATACCTCGTAGACTTACTGGGTTGTGACAAAGAAAATCTCCCAACGGCCCTGTCGAGATGGCCAAGAACTGGTTTTAGTAATAAGAACGCTGTCTTGATGAATCAGACACTCGCATGCCTTGAAAATGTCGGTTGTACTGTTTCTTCTAAGATTTTTTTCTCCATCTGCTTTGAGGAAAGCAGATAGATTTCAGTGTGGCTTTATAATAAATCTTCTCAAGGAGGGACTAGCATTAACATTTGTGTAGATTCTTTTTCATCTTAATCCAACCTTAGTTAATAATCAGAAAATTCTACATACTGAGTAAGAAGATGTAATTAACCCTTTGACCCCAGAATCTTAATTGGCGCCTGTTGAAAACAGTGGGCAGTTAAAAAAAAAAAAAAAAAAAAAAAATTAAAAGGTAGCCTGCAGTGATTGAAACAGCTCAGTATATAGCAGTTTCTTGACTCAAAATTTTTTAAATTTCCACCAAACTTTAAGATTAATCGTATTTGGTTCCCAAGACTAATTGAATGTTTCCCTCCTCCTCCCACCTTTTACAATTAAGACACCCACATTAAACCAATATTGATGCTACTCTTAAAAATTTTCTAAGCAGCAAAATACAGCTAACTATAGACAGGGATGACCCTGAATCAGAAGGTAACGGCTATGCGAAGAGCGACCTTGCCAACCTGATGGAGACCCGGTTTCATATTCATTCTTTATTTGAAATGTAATTATAACCGAGTTATTGGTCTTCATCTCATACTGTAGATATAATTGACTGAAATGATAAGCATAAAAGTGAAAAATATGGTTAACTAACTTGTTTTGTTTATCTTTGCAATGACAAACAACTAATCTGACTAGTTGTTTCTTCCCCCCACCAAATTGGCTATTTTTAATTGAATTGACTGGATGTTTTGAGTCATGTAGACAGAGCCTCATTTTAATCTCACCAGGAAATTGGAGCATGTGTCGAAGCTTCTGTTTTTGCCAAACAAAACTGGCCAGTTCTTAGATTGCCACTGCTTAATAGCATCAGATGTTTAGCCTCCAGATAGTCCTTTTCCCTGCTATGGTGCCCAAACTTCCTCTAGTATTTTAGTAAGTACATGAGATATGAACCTACTTTCAAAAAAAATCATAATCCCTTTCAGTGAGAAAGTAAAGGATGTGTTTCAGTGGCAAGTGAATAGCACCGGGTATTTTGGAAGACTATGAAAGCATCCAGGCTAACTCTGATCTTCCAAACGTCAGGAGCTATCCCAGACTATGTTAGACATCTGTGGCATCAGAATCTGCAAATAATCTAATAGCTCCATAAAGAGAACTCGTGGAGGAAATAATTGCCGTTTCTCTTACTCAATTCTAGCATGTGTGATGTGAGGGAAAGATCTTTGGGCTTGGAGGTAGAATTGGATTTACTAAGTCTTAGTTGAACAATTGTTAAGTGTTGGCTAAAGATAAATAAGACATTGCCCCTCTGTTGAGAAATTCAGTCTCCTTGGGAGTTGAACAAGCCGACCAGGATGATACAATGTCATCAGTGCTTTAATAATACTATGGGAGGCGGCATATTTAATCCTGGCTCTGCCACTAGCTGGCCATATGGTCTTACCCAGCCACTTAGCCTCTCTGTGCTGACATTTCCTCGCTTGAAACATGAGAGTTTAGACTACAGGGGGTCATCTCTGTGCCATCTCCATTAATCCTTTCTTCTGCTCTCATTTAGCTTTCTGATTGTCACTTGTCCTCATAAAAGTTCTCTTGTGATCTCTCCCTGTGTGTCCCTCTGATCTGATAGTGGCATTTTAGGGTTTGAGAAGATGGCTTACACAGCTCTCTGTGATTATATACCAGACCATGGCTCTTAGGTTGAATGGAAAACCTAACCAGGCCCTTCTCTCCCTGGGGAAGGTCAAAAGAGGGAGTCTTAATCCTCACAAGTCGTTCTTAGGAGATGTCTCGCTTGAGGTGAAGACATGTTGAAATGAGATGCTTCCCACACTTCTACAAAGGAAACTTCTATCCTTTTGCACTTTGGGTTCCAAGTAAGCTTCCACTGCACCACACTTGAAGCTTGAAAGTTTGGCTCTCACAAGGCTCCAGAGGGTTTGATAGTGTTGTCAAAGATAAGGAGTCCAGTTCTCTTAGACAGTGTTTTGTTCCCTGTCCTCTAGATGCTTCCAGGGAGATATTACAGCGCAAAGGTAACCAGGTGACCTCTTGTGGAAGTGACTTATGAACTCTCTTGTCATCCCAGTTCTCATTTGTCTCCTAATGGTAGGATTCTATCATTGGAACAAATCATTCAAAAACAAGGGATGATTTTTAAGAAGTTATAGGCTGCCTCTTAATACAAATATTTTAACTTCAGAAATGCTATCCGATATATCTTTTCATCAAGGTACTCGTATCAAGTAGAGAATCTTTATTTTTAGTGGAAGACAAGGCAGTATAGTGAATGAGTCTGACTGTCTCATTCACGAGTTTGAATCGTAACTTCATCACTTGCTAGGGTCAGGCATATTGCCTAACTTCGCTAAGCCTCAATTGCCTTGTATGTAAAATGTGAATAATAATAAAATTACCTCAAACGGTGCTTGTGAAAATTAAAAGAGACGATACATGCAAACTGCTTAGTACATAATAAATGTAAGCTAATTAATAACTGTAAGCTCTTTCGGTTGTACTGTCTTGACCAAAACCTTGTCTATCGTGTAATTTGCTTTTATGTGGAGCAATGCAATGTGACTTTTGAATTATTTTCGGAAGCCAGTAAATCAGAGGAGGTGGTTGGGTGCTACCCGTAGTTTCTGACCAGTGGGGCTGTGAAAACAGATCAGGAGGCATGGAATCCAAATTTCATGCACACGCACGCAGACACGTATTCCCATAGCGATACACATATATATTAAATGCACATATATGTATGTTATACATATATAACTCTGGACAATGTTCAGTATTTTAAGAGGCTGAAATTATTCCTGAGATTTGAGGCAGTCTATTTTTCTACCTGAATTTTACATGCTTCTTCCTCCTTTCTATATTTAAAAATTATGTCATTAGTTTAATGTTGCCCCATACGTTGTTCCCAGTGAGGATTCCCTGTATTTCCAAATTCCTCTGTAAATACCAGTAATCTTTAAAATTTCCTTTTCGGGGCAAGCAGTACTTGTGCAACCTACCTGGTTAAAAATAAATAAATAAAGCAAAACACAAGACATGAGGATGATGGAACGTATAAAATGCACTCGGATTGCAAGAAGTTGAAAACAAATTTATTCTCAATTTGAGTGGTATCTTGCGGTTGGAGTCCATGATGATTTACACCATTCATCAAACTGAAAATGAAGCCCTCCCTCTGAAACGTGGACTAAGGTTTCAGGAGTTGCAGATGATGCGCAGCATCCTTCGTCCTCCTCCCCCACCCCCTCTTCTTCTTTTCTTTCCATTTCAGGAGTTGTAGGAGAAACTAGATCTATCACAATAAAACTTTAACACAGAGCTTTGCAAAACAAGGATTACAGTTTGTAAGGCTTCAGCCTGTAAACATTCACCCATAATATATTGACTTGCCCTATTTGTTCTAACACAATAGGCACTGGGAGTGAGGAGAGCATAATCCCCTATTAATTAGCAAATTATTGATGTCCATAGGAGCTCAAGTGGTGATTTTACTTACTCTTCATGTAAGAGCTCTTTTTTTTTGCTCTTATTCCATGACGATTTTCATTCCTGTTCAGCTATTTAATAATCATGCTGATTTAATCTCAGTAACTACTGAATCCAAAAGAAAAGGCAACGTCTCATAAAATCAGCATGACCTGATTCTATACATAAATATAATGCATCTTGATCAAAATGACAGAGACATAAGGAAGTCCCTGGAATATGGGAGAGCTTGTGGTCTTAATTCAGACCTTTCGTTTGTTCATGTGTAATGCAGTAAAGATCTTAGGACTGCTGTTAAACATGAAGGAAAAAATGGTCTTAAATTGGGTTATGTGTTGCTTTGTATCAGATGCCTTATTAACTAAATCCCCACGATATATACTTATTAACCTATTTATTTATTTTTTTCTGCAGTCCCTGGATGGCTTTGTATTTGCACTAAATCAAGAAGGAAAATTTTTGTACATTTCTGAAACAGTCTCCATCTACCTAGGCCTCTCGCAAGTAAGTAAGACAATTTGATTCCTGACAGCGATCGTGAAGGCTTCAGCCTCATGTCTTTCCTTCTTCGGCAGACACTCTCTTTAGCGTGAATTTACCCAATTTACTCTTTAAATGGCTCTACCTGACTCTGATCACGAAGTCAATGAGCAAATTGTATGTCAGTTCGGAATGTTCAGAATCAACCTGTGCTCAAAACTTAAGTCCCCCTCCCCACCCCCCAAGGATCATTATTAATTTATTGAGAACAAATGAAGTTTCTTCCCTTGGTTGTTTTGAACTTGGAAACCTCTGTGCCCGGTAGGAAAGGGACACACTAATAGTGCTTCCCTTGTGTCCTATTACTGGATGTTTATGGAGGACCCTGCATTGTCCTGGGAGCTGACACAGTGACAGGGAGTCATTTGGAGTCAAGAAATGCCGAAAGAGACCATTAAAATGTGTTGCAGGGAGGGTTCCTGCAAGGACGTATTTTGCTGCCTTTGCAAATATTTCCTCATGCGGAAAGACAATTTCATAAAATAGGATAATCTTTCATTATTTGCGGTTTAATTACCCACGCGTGTCTGTCAGAGGTGAAAAGAAAAGAAGATGGAGGCAGATGGGGCAAGGGAAAAAATCCTAGATGTCAGTTCTTGATATTCCCCTGCAACACAAAAATTTGACTTTCGTTGGATTCCCAGACACAGGCTGCAGCTACAGAATGCCAAAATACCCTGAAGAAAAGTTTGCAGTTCCACTAATTATCCAGATGTTTTCTCCATAAAAATGCTAAACATCTGGGTATCTGTGCCCACACAGGTGATTGGCTGAGCTTGACCCTTTTCATCTGGTGGTTTGGCACGAGAAAAACACAGCCTCGGTGGGAGGGATTTTGTATGTATGTGATGATCTGCCAAGCTGGATAATCTACTTCTCATTCAGTTTCCCCTTTGAGCTAAAGATGGAGATAAGATTTGTCTCTCTCCTCTTAGGCAGGACTCACCCTAAACTCACGGCTTCTGAGAGTTGGCACTGCTCTAAGGAGGCAGCCAGCATGGTTGGAACATTTTGGCCGTTAGTGAGTTTGCTGGGTAATAGCTAAATCAAGAAAGACATTGGGAAATAATAGAGAGACATATCTGGCATTTGAGGAGGGTTGGGGGAGGAGGAGAAACACTGCCAAATTTAATTATTTGCTTTTGAGAATCCAAGCAGGGGGCCATTAACTCTTCCTTTAAGGACATGCAAGCTATTGGCTGTAGTGTATCTAGCAATTCTATTTCATGTAAACTTGAGCAAACCAAATGATAGAAGCTGGGCTACCGTCAACTCGATATTAGTATTCTTGCGTCTTGTTGAAATCTCTGGTTTTCTAATGGCTTTTAATAGACTGTAAGCCTTGTCTTAATCTGTTTGGGACCTAGAATCGAGAATCTCCAGTGTTGAAATTGGTGCGCCACCATATTAATACTGTACAGAACTGGAAACCCCACTGTTTGTTGTTCTGCAATGCCCGTATTCATCTGTTTTGTGCAGACTATCCAACAAAGTTTAATAAGCCCAGTGAAGGAGGATGAATAATTAGCTTAAGCAGGTAAATGCTAATTAGGGAACTCCCGAAAAGCATCCATCATATACTAGCTCAAAACACATTTTACAGCCCTGGTTAGTGGTGTAATCCAAATTCTGTCAAGGCAACTGCATTTTCTGTAATTGAGATGTGTACGTTTGCTTTGCATAACAGATGGCTCTGTATGCTTAGAGTGATAGCTAGGAAAATAATAATTGCATTATTCTGGCCAAAAGAATATTAGCTCTTGGGTTTTGGCCATTTCAGTCAGTCCTCCTGCCAGCACAGCATATGTACATATATGGATTGGATTTTCAAGGAAATTGATGCATCTGGAATAGTGTGGCCATATGAAATATCATCTGTTCAAGAAAAATTTGGCTTTAACCCTGTGCTGGTTTCTCCTTAAAAGCAATAGTTTCCACTGCTTCTCTACTGTGGCGTCAAGTCAGTCTTTTCCTAAAATCTGAGGCAAATCATTGAGGTTTCCATAGAATAAAGCAGCTGTGCAGGCATGGTACAGTAGCTGGCAACTTCTGTGCAGTCCTTCCCCACCTTTGCATGGGATGGGTTGTAAAGTGCACATCAATAGTCAGCATCTTGACTCGCCCAGGGGTAGACGCTGGCCACGATGGGCTGTTGCCCTCTGTGGAGGTTGTGTCCAGTGTCGCCACGAAGGGTCCAATGAGCAGGTAGAGGCCACGTGGTACGGGACAGAAGTCTTCATCTGAAGGCGTTATGCAACTGAAATGATGAAGGGTAAATCACTACAAAGCGATTTTTGCATCCACCAGTGAGTGTATTTGGAGTTCAGAACAAATTTAGAAATAGTTCTGGGTTGACATGGAAATAATCTGATAGGGCATGGTGTGTTTTGAAATGCCTAAATAATGAGAGGAAAAATCTATGCTAAAACTTTGGGAAAGGATTTCCAGCCCAATTAATGTTCTAAGTTCTAAAAAGGTAGTTGGGGGTCCTGAGACATAACTCTTCCCAAGTTTCTTCAGTGCCCTCTTTCAGTTATGGCGTATGGGCTGCTCACTGGTGACATACAGTGTAAATGTACTCAAAGTTATTCAATTAAGTACCTCCTTAATCTTTTACACACACACACACACACACACACACACACACACACACACACACATCCTTAATTAAGTGCAAACCAAACACTCTGCTTTTGTCCTACAACTTTGACTCAGTGGTTCTTCCATCAAATTCTAGACAGTGATAAGCAATCTATATAGTTATTGTCCCTTCTTTCCTTTTTAAACAGTGCCATTAAATCAAGAAAATGTGTAACTGTATCATCAAATATGTATCCAGTGAAATTGTTGAAGAATATTGCGAACGTGTCATTTTGTTAGAGCATAGCCACGTCTGCATTTGTAACTCTCAAGATGTATCTTTCTCAGTTTTATTTTCTTTCAACATGTAAATAAATATGGTGGCTTTGAAACGGCTTATGTTCTCAAGAAAGAATTAGGATTCTTTTTTGGCTCATGAGAAACCTAAGTAGAGCAACTTCTACCCAGCTCAGTTGTGTAGCATGAATATAGAGACAGTCAGAGCAGGTTTTTACTGGGTGGAACTCCGGGTGTCTAGGATGTGTGCTTGCCACTTATTGTCTCTAAGATATTTTCATATTGTCATGATGATGGGAATGAAGCGTTCTATGATGATCCATCTTCAGCAGCCCTTTGACTTTGCCAGACATAATCATTTAACACCCAAGATGTGGTTTCAGGTTGTAGAAAAATGCACTGTTGACTTGCATCCCTGGGTGCAGATGACTCCTAGGTACTCACTATGAGGCCTTATCTTAAAGGAAGAAACCCAAATATCATTGCTGAGTTTGGTTTGCATGGAGATTAAATGACTTCTTATATCTGGTGATGGTGTCCAGAGCTGCTAAAGACAACTCTGCTCTTTACTTAAAATGGAATAGGCAAAAGTAAAAATGAAGAAAGAAAACAGAGTGGTTTCCCTAATACTGAAAACGCGGCATGATGGGTAGCCAGCTTTTATGAAACCTCTTCCAATGTGTTAAGGGGCTCAATCACCAAAGAATCCAAAAGAGACTTTATATGGTAAATAAAAAGCATTTCTACTTCCATATAGGACTTAAAGCTTATAGAAATATTTATTTGTTGGTTTATAGCCTCCTCTTTCCAAAAAGGAAATAGCTTACATAAACATATGCAATAAAAAGTAATGGCGAGGGCTTCCCTGGTGGCGCAGTGGTTGAGAGTCCGCCTGCCGATGCAGGGGACACGGGTTCGCGCCCCGGTCCGGGAAGATCCCACGTGCCGCAGAGCGGCTGGGCCCGTGAGCCATGGCCGCTGAGCCTGTGCGTCCGGAGCCTGTGCTCCGCAACGGGAGAGGCCACAACAGTGAGAGGCCCGCGTACCGCAAGAAAAAAAGTAATGGCAAAATAGAACTAGGGTCTAAGGGAAAAAAAGATAAAAGTAGGTAATCTGTTACCACATAGTAGGAGAACACAATAAAGGCTTATAAGAAGGGATGTAAATGGTCTGATAAAGTGTCAAAATTCTCTATGAGCTTCCTGGCAGCCAAAGCAAAAAGAGAAACATAGCCAACTATAGCCAACCATCAAAAATAAGGAATGTATGGCTGAATCGCTTTGCTGTGTACCTGAAACTATCACAACATTGTTAATCAGCTATACTCCAATATAAAATAAAAAGTAAAAAAAAAATAACAGTTGCACAATGTGCAGAATGCCTGGGCTTCTCTCAGTGATGGCCAGTGTTTTAACAACCAGCTTCCCAGTATTCCAGTAACAGTCGATTATGTTCTAACAGTGTGTACCCTGTTTTTAACAACTAGATACCCAGCGTGGTAGTTGTAGCTTTATGTCACCTGACACCCAGTTTCTTACAGTAGACATTTTCTAAATCCAATACTTTATCCAACTGATGCTGAGCATTTTTAATGTTCAACACAGAATGTTCTGGACAGTGGGTTACTCAATGGTATGAGAAAACAGTAAATACACTTGTTCTTGGTAAACCGCCAAGCCCAGTACTTCAAAGGGCAGCCATTGTCCCAACATGCTCATGTGATTCAGGGCTTGAGCCCAGCTAGAGGGTGCAGTGAAATAAATAAATAAGTAAAAATAAGGAAGCATCACTTCACAAGGAAAGGAAAGTTCTTCTGGGACTGAAATATTAAAATAAATCTCAAATACAATTTCTGTGGAGGCTAATATATGGATTATGACATATCAATTTGCTTCCATTGGAGTCCACATTCAGAACAAGGCTATAATGAACACACATATCGCCAATCGCATAAGCCAGCAGAAGATTCTTCTCTCAGATGTTGGTATGCCAAAGATCATTTTGAGAATGATGTTCTGGCATCCAGGACTTACAATAGCATTGACTAGTTTGATGGTTTATGTGCTTTTGAATCAACTTTCCCTAAT